TATGACCTTGTTTTCGCAACATGGTCATATTGGTAGGAAGACTTATTGGAACGCACCTAGTCCTGGGTCCTTTGTCTGCATGATCATTTACAAAGTTTAACCGTGGAGGTGGTACATTCCCAAACGTTTCGCCGGCATCGTATTTGGCATCATCAGTGAGTTTTGCCAATCGCCGTATTAAGCTACGAACTCGTTAAAGAGAAAAGTGAAGCCAATACTTTGACAAACGTTTTGTCGAAAACTGTTACGCTATCACTCCTCTTTCTGTCCTAGCCTATCTATCTATTCTTTGCACTCTTATCCCACAGCCACCCTAACACACCTTCTCACTTGTTTACATTCCACTCCTCAAAATGTGTGCCTTTTTGTGGCAAATCTAATGTGGCCTTATCACACTAAATATCTACTCCGACCCCTCTGTTTCTAGCTGCTTATCCGATCAAAAATTGTGAGAGTGAAGGCGTGATAGGAGGATATAGGAAATGTGAATAGGCCAGGGCAGAATGGGAGATACCATAACTGTTTAGCACAAGTTTGGTCAAAGGATCGGCTTCACTCGTTTCTTTGACGAGTTGTAATATGGTGCTACGAATTGTAAAACTCACTGACGATGCCAACCACGATGCCGATTACGATGCCGGCGGAGCGTCTGGTAATGTACCACGTCCACGGTCCGACTTTGGAAATGAGTATGCATACAATGGACTCAGGACAAGGTGCGTTCCTCTAAGTCTTTCTACCAATATGACCAAGTTGCGAAAACAAGTTCAAACAACTTTTATACAACGAAAGGAGACTGCGACCACACAAAAGGCCACACCATCTTGGTCTTCATATCTCTTCTATTTTGTTTATGTGTATGTTGGCCAAAACTGGTGAGAGCGGTGATCCCATGGAAAGTCCAAATATTTGTTCATAGATGTTCCCATTGAATGTAAAATAGGTTGTCCTTATTGTCAAGTTGATTAGTCTTGTTAAGGACTCCCTACCGATCCGTTGTGATTTCACGATATCACTCTCTCGGTCTAGGATTTCCAGTAGGGACGTTAGCGCATTTTCTCCAGAAATACTTGTATACATGGATTCCACATCGAAACTTACAAATAAGTCCCTCAGAAGCCACTTCAACTGGGCGTACTG